CGACAACCATTAATGGCGTGGATCTGCCCTACTATAAAGGCCTGTGCGGAAGCAACAGCCTGGAAGGGTTCCACAAAGTCCTGCCGTTCATGATTCCAGGTATCAGCCCGTGCTTGGCGGTCCATTTATGAAGTAGCAAATACATTATATTGTTCCAGACATCTAATGATTTTCTTTTAATTATTCAGGTCCACACTGTGCAGCAAGGCCCTATCAGGTTTACCTGATCAGCGACATTGCTCGCTGGAACTCAGACCGCCAATCTGATGCCGTGTTTGGAGGGAGAGGCCGGCGGCACAGGACCTACTCCGCGCCGCTCGTCAACCGCCTCAACACCCGCTGTCAGGAGTTGTTCGATGAGCCCGAGGACCAAAACTTTCTGCATCCAGCCGACGTCCGCTCTGATGAGCTTTTCGGTCTGGAGTAGCTGTTTAGGCAGAGCACCTTTTCCCTTCAGGACATTGATCAGGATGGTCCAGAACCTGATGAAGAGGTGCTTCAGCCTGGACAGCCAGAACAGGAAGAGACCGACGAGGCTTACCACAGCAATGCAGAGGATGGAGCCCTGGATGCTGATCGGCCTCACATCGCTCTCACCAACGATGAGACGGCGACTGTGCACCACCCAGCTTCTGTAAGCACTTCATTCATTTAATTGATTTTGTTCACTTTTGGATATTTAGTGGTTTATTTGAATGAAAAATGTGAGTTTTTTCACAGGACGACGTCTGCAGTGCAAACCCCCTCCCTGGCTTCCAGCAGCTGGAAAGGTTCTGCTCTGTTCTTGTTGAAGTTGGGCTGACAGAGAACAAGCTCTCTCTCACCACTGAGGAAAGGGATGGCATCCTCAAAGCCTGGAATGCTGTGGAGGAGCACGACAAGCAGCCGCAGCAGTTCGCTCAGCTGTACAGGAGTCACTGGGGAAACACTTTGTACTGCAGGACAAAGAGGGATGACCTGGTTGAAGCTGCTGTGGTGCAGAAACTAAAGATGGCTAAACGCTACACACCATCACACAAGATCAGCGCTCAGCATAACAGACTGATGTACACTCTTGTGAAGATGCTGTGGCTGCGTTTGCCCCACGGGTCAAAGAAAAGGCCAGAGAAGACGGCCATCCTGAAGGCGTACGAGCGGGTGCAGCACCGGATTCTGAGCAGAGTGGGCATTCCTCTACCAAAAATCAATTCAAAAACGGTGCGTGAATTCATATCGCATCAAGAGAGACTCGTCAGCTTCCACGCCACCAGACAGCCAGTCACCGTCACCAAGCTGACTTCCATCTCAGCGGCTGACCTCCCTCCGCCGAGTTACCCTGTGATTGACTATACATTCACAGAGGGCACAGCAGGGACCAAGGTTTTAAAGAAGAGGACAGACCTTGCGATGCCAGTCTCTCAGCCTGCTGCTCCTCAGCCACAGCTTCAGCCCCAGGTGCAGCCTCATTTTCCACCTCAGTCTCTGCTACAGCCTAGAAAACAGACTCCTGTGAGTTGTGAAACGGTTGTTGCCTCTTCCACCTCCACGGTATCTGAAACCCCTTGGCACACAGTCAGGCCCATTGTGCCTAAGGTGGTCTCTGTTCAGTCCAGCTCCAGCCCTGGGTCATTCCAGCCTTCTGCCAGTCCGGTGTTTCCTGAGGCCACTGCTACCTCGTCTCCATCCCCATCATGGTCCAGGGCCACGCTTTTCAAGCGTAAACAGGAGCTTTCCTTCTTGGGGGAGGGAAAGAAATCCAGGGTGCAAAACAACCCTGTGTGCACGATCTGTGGACAGGTGACTCAGGGACACAAAAAATACAAAAGAAAGAGCTTCTGTCCTGTAAAAATGATGTCCACATCAAAGGGTCTCACAGGCATTTTATTTGAAAGTTTTGAGGAGTTTACGTTGGCTGTCGACTCCAAAGGCGATACCGCTGCTGTTTAGTTTCTCTGTTGTACTTGGTACAACATTTGAGCTCTGCAGAGCCGGTTGGAGCTTGCTTGATTTGCACAGACGCAGATGTACTGCAGCTGTCGTTTGATTAAAAAAAAATTACTGTCAAAGCTTGTGTTTGTTTTGTTTTTGTTTTTTTCTTTGCACTAACCAATGCTGTTTGTCAGCTGTAACTTTGTTTAGCATTTTTTATACATTTATTTTGCAATAATTGATGGTGATGTTTGTCAGCTGTTCTGTTATTTTTGTATTTTTTAACACCATTAAAGCTTGTGTCAATAATTTTGATGTTTAGTTATTTACCATTTCCAATTTTCAATGAATATATGTTACAGTAAAGCGAACGTCCTGATGTGTCCTGAATTGTCATCTACGCTTGGACTGCTTGAATTTATATGACTTTATGAGCTGGTGAGTATTTGAGCTCAATGTTTTGAGAGTGAGCATTTACAATCGAATAAATGCTCTCTAGAAATGTACAAACTTTGAATTAAAAGCAGAATATTAATCCCACATCTGAAGAAAGTTGTAAATTTGTAAAACACCAAGGACTGTTTTTAAATAAACAACTGATTAACAATAAACAAATCCACATGTAATAATAACGTACCAGGTAAGAGTAATGGACTTTTTGGGCCACCAGATGGCACCAGACAAAATAAAAACAAAACAAATGCTGTTGTTTCATGATTTTATTCAAGATTTAACTGAAATTAAGCACAAAATATTGCTCAGTATTACACAAGACATCAACTGACTGCAAGTTTTGTCACAGGACCCCAGAAAGTCATGAAATGTAGAATCTGTGGAGGGGAAATATGCAAATGGTGGACTGCAAACATTGAAGGGCACGCCCACAATTACACAGACGGTAGATGGTGGTTGGCATTTTTTCAACTAATTTCAGTTCATTTTTTACCAGTAGCTGTTCATCAAGTACAGTCCTGAATCCATTAAGAAAAAGTCAGTCGTTGCCTCATATTCATTCACTTTTTCCCAGTTTCAGTGCACATAAATGATTTCCCCTCATGCAGTTTTACACAGTCCAATCACAGGCAACGCCCACAGCACACCTGCATTCTACATTATGGTTGGCAAATTTTCAAATTCTATTTTCATCTTTCTACTGGAGCTGCTCATCACTTACAATCTCATGTAAATCAAGAAAAGAGCCTACAATGTCTCAGATGTCTAACATTTTCTGCTTTGTGTGCCCATTGTGAAAATTTTACCCATCATGCATCTACAAAGAGTCAATCTGGCAAATGCGGACTGTCATCCAACCATCATTCAGGGAAATTGACTACTGACCACCTCACTTATGGAGTCTTTTGTTTGCAGCCACCCTTTGATGTTGATGGAGACATTTTTATGTATAAATTCATGTGTAGTTGAATTAATTCAGTTAATGAGATGGTTAAGGTTTTAGTTTTACTATCACTTTGTAACACCAGATGTACGTTTTTTACTGGAAGAATTTTAAATGTTGTCACTTTAATTTCATTGCTCTTTTATGCATTTTATCTCATTTTATACTAGACCAGTGTGTGTTGATAAAGTTTATAATAAAGGACTAAACTGACAAATTGGTAGAATATGCGCATTTCCACATCAACAAAGCTCCAACCATTTATTCCAATCTGTAAAGTTTACAAGTTAGAAAACGCCTTAATTAAAGGACATTACATGAAAATTATGTTCTGTAATAAATATTAAAGTAACATTTGTGTAAATGAAAGCACGTTTTTTTCACAACTTTTTTTTATTTTGCCCAGAATGATTTAATATTGTGTGGTTTTTTTGGCTTAGCAAAAACTGGTAATACCAAAAACTATCCTCTCATCCAGCTTGTTCCTGAATGATTAAATTAACCTTAAAACAACCATTTATTTCTTATAGAACTTATTCTGATGAATAAATATGATATAGAAGTGAAACTTTTCAAGGATTCTAAAAATTCAAGTTTCATAATCAAAATGGTGAGAAAATCTGGTTGTCGGATGAAGGTTTTGTACATGAGGTCAGAAATCATTAAAAATATTTTAGGATTCATCATCGGAAGAAGGAAAACGCATATGACAACTGAAAATGCGAACCTCTATTCTGATCTCTAATCATTTAATGTTTAAGTTTAAATTTCTGTCAGCAGACTTGCACCTTAATCAACTAATTGTATCACCTTTCTTAAAAGGTGTGGAACACTGAAAAAACATTTTAAATGATTTTTTTCTGTCTAAAATGGGTCACTTTGAGTTTTTCATGCAGGCTGAACATGAAAATAGTTTCCTACACCTATCTCCTGCTTTAGCTTCTGATAGAAAACAGACGATGAAGCACAAGTATTAGAAAAACCTGGCAGATCTACGTCACACTGTCACTTAACTCACGGACTCAATCATCTTGACTCGCGACGGGGAAGGCTGCTGTTGGTTTAACGACTAGGAAACAGCAGAGAACGTCTCGACTAGTAGAAGATACCAGTTGGAATTAGCAACTCCACCACATGGCAGAACTCCTCCAGGCTTGTGTAATTTGTGGAGGTAAAACAACACGGCAGAACAGAGTCAGTGGTAGAGTCACGTGTTGGCCAATCAGAAGCGAGATGTTCAATTAACAGGAAATAAGAATCCAAAACCTGCCGTGTTCAGCTCAACTCTGATGAGGTTCACTTCTAGTTCCTCAAACAGGTGCACCAGAGCTCCCCCCCCCCCCCCCCCCCCCCCCGAGTTTGACTTGCAAGGCATTAATTCGTACCAGAAACTACTGCTAAAGTATTAATTTAACACCTTTAAAATCAGATAAACTTATTTCTACTCGCGTTGCATTTTTCTAGATTGCACATTTTGGAAATAAATGCACACTTGCATCAATAAACGCCGATTTTCTGCCAGAGTGAGCTCAGACGTTCAAATAAGATTTTCAAATCCAATGTGTCCACAAGGGGGCAGCAGAACACCACTGATGGTTTTGCACACCTTCATCTTAGGTGGCCTTAATTCTCTGGATGGGTTCAGTAAAATGAGTCGTGACCATCAACTCACCAATTAAACACATGCAGGCCAAAATGACACCAGCTGCAACTTTATTTAAAAGTTTTAACACAGTCATAATAAAAAATAAACAAAACACTTGACCGATTGTGATCTTGAAGTTAGATTCCTCATTATGCCACCAAGGTACAGAAGCCACTTGACAAGTTGACATTTTGACTTTTAATATTTAAAATTACAGGAGGCAGCAAAGCATACTGAAACAGCAGTCTGGATAACTTCACACCAAGATAAATGTCTACAGAACAGTTGTGCTGTGAGGTTTCTAGTACTACAGACTCTACGTTCAACAAATCGCACCCTCTCGCCTTTTAAGGTCAGTTTTAACTTCTGCGTAATCCTCGCACACAAGCTTCCCTTCAAGTTACCAGCTAAAGACATTCGTGGTTTCTTTATTTAAATTTTTTTGAGAAGTAAAAATTAACAGCAGACATGTTTATTATTATTATTATTATTATTATTATTATTATTATTAAGAGTTACGCCAAAACTACTTCACCAGCTCTGTGCATGGGTTTCTTTTCTTCCCCGAAATGATCTCCCGCTGCAACAGTAGCATTAAAACAACTCACTGCAATGATCAAAAGGCTCTGGGGTTAGAAACGGACCACCAAGTCACAAGGTTTCACACACACACAAGGCTAAATCCAGTAAAGTCGTAGATCGGATGAAAGCAGCTATTTTCAGAAAGCACTTCAGTTTCCCGCAGTAGTGACCAGCACACTGCATCTGTTCAAGCTTCGACCAAAAAGCTTGGCGTTGATGTCGTCTTGGCTGAATTGGAACACTTCATTTTGAGAGGAAGCAACACTGTACAGTGGATGGGTAGAGGTTAGAGCAGAGACGTGGTACCCATCAAGGAGAACAGCTAGGAGAGAAGAAAGCCACCTCTGATCGCACAAACTCAAGTGTGTGCATCTATTTCACCACATTTGTACTTTTTTTGTTTCGTGATCATTTCTGAAAAATCTGTTCACACATTAGCCACTCACTGAGTGATGCAGAAAACACAAAAAAGAGTGTTTGATGGCAATTTTGGAAGAAAAAAAGAGAAATTATTGTTTCTATTTATTTATAGAAATATTCAGTTGCAACATGAAGCCTGTAGAAAGTCAAGGCGCTATGTTTTGTTGTGTTTACGGTGCAAGACACATGTTCATCTCTAAATGACTGTAAAACGTCTCTACTGGAAAATTCATTAGCCCCTTTTCCCATAAATGAAGGTATATTCTCTTTTAAACCTGAATTCACAGTACAAAAATATAATATGCCTTTGCTAACTGGTTTTCATGAAGTCGATGGTAAACTTATGATCATCTTTCATGATCCTTTCCACCTGGGAGTCCTTACTACGATCTTGCAACACCCTTTGGCACTTTGGCACACTATGTACTCATAGACAAACATAAAATTATGGAGCCACTCAAGCGTTAACGTGAGGATGGATGTCAACACTTTCAGGAGAGGCCCGACCTCTGCTTTCTCACGTGGAATGGCACCGCTTAGGGAGGATGACATTTACACGTTTTCCCTGCGACGGCCGATCAGACAGCTTCTGCGGACGTTTCAGTCGACACGGACATGGTTACTTTGGCTATTTTCACAGTGGTCTTCACGCAGCTCTCTGCAGCCCTTTTGGCGGAAATGTTGGCATTCCTGTTCTGGCAGTCCGACTCCAAGCTGTTGTCCAGCTGCTGGGCACTGCCCCTGCAAGCGCCGCACGAGCTGAGGAAGGCATGTCGCAAGTCCTTGCTCCTCAAGGCGTAGATGATTGGGTTGACGGTGGAGTTGAGCAGACAGAGCATGCTACAGAATGCAAATACTGTCTTGATGTCATCATCCATCCTCCAGAAGAGGTCATAGACCATGATGGCGAGCAGTGGGCCCCAGCAGATCACCAGTACCACCAGGATAAGGACCAGGGTCTTAGCCAGACGAATGTCCATGCGTGCCTGATCAGGGCGTGTGGTTTGCACTTTAGTCCCATCGGCGGAGTAGATGACAAGGCTTTTCTGGGAGGCACGGCTCAGCATCCGCACAGCGTGGTGGTGGGCCTTCCACAGGATGTAGATGTAGGCGTAGATGATGAAAAGAACCAACACGCTGGTTACGCTGATCCAGAACATCAGGTAGTTCTCGTCGATGAGGGGGAATATGTCTGAGCAAACAGAATTGAGACGCTTACAGTTCCAGCCCAGCAGGGGCAGCACTGCGATGATGATGGAGATGGCCCACATCATGCTGAAGGCTATGACTGCCTTGGTCCGTGTCACAATGCGCCTGTAGGCGAGCGGCCGGTGTATGGAGATGTAGCGGTCGATGGCAGTGAGGAAAAGACTCCCCACCGACGCTGTGAACGACGCTGTGACTCCACCCAGCTTGAAGAGGAAAATATTGGGGCTGTCCTTCCTGTGGAAAACGTGGAAGTCCAAAAAGCTGTAGACGAAGATGACGCTACCCAGCAGGTCGGCCACAGCGAGACTGCCGATGAAGTGGTAGGACGGCCGGCAGCGGAGGGTGCGGGACTGCAGTATGACGCAGAGCACAACCAGGTTCTCCAACACCGTGAAGGTACCCAGAGTCAGAGACATCACAGCCACAGCCAGCTGCTGGCTGGGGGTCAGGATCATGAAACACTCCATGTCCATAAAGTTCTCCCCACATTGTATATTATTAGTCTCATCTCTGATTGTGCTCCTGTTGCCAAACAAGTCCGTGGCATTGGTGGGGAGGAACGGGATGCCCTTCAGGATCAACTCTTCCTCTGCAGGTACTTTGTTTGGGAAGGAGTCGCTGCGGAAAGCAGACAGAGGCTTCTGCACAGAGAAGCCGCCCTTGAAGTCTACATCTCTGATGGGGTCATCGTAGTTGGCATCATTGGAGCCCAGATACTGTAAACCAGAGGTGATAGTCCGGAAGGTGGTGTCCGCCACGCCATCAAGCACAGATTTCATGGCTGCGTCTGTGGGTTATACTGCAGGCTAAGGCGTCCGGACAACCTGAAGGTCGATAACAAACATTTCAGACATATCTTTACAAATCTGGGCCAGAACCCTGTGCACAGCTTCCCCTGGGATTTTTGCAGGTGGAGTCTGAATAAAGCTTAAAACATTTCTCTGAAAATCATGAGCATTTGTAGTACTTACAACCATAAGATGTGTTTTTCTACAGATTTTTGCACCTTTTTCACATTTTCTCATCAGTAGCTGCTGAACTTAATTATACAACAGAAGAAAATGCTGCAGGATTTTTTTTAATTCTTTATCTTTAAATTTTGAGATTTTGGTTAATATGAGGACATATTAATATGCATGCTCAAAGCCAAACGGAATTATTTCCTCTACCACCTAAAATATTTCATTACTTTAAAAACATTTTAGTTTCCAAATTTGGATAATTTTTTGGGTCGAAAATCTTAGTTATAAACTGAATTTTGGTGCACAAATACGCACAGATATGACATTTTACGCACTAATAATGGATTTAATTAACTAATAAGCCCTAATTGGATTCTTAGAGAAAAAAGCACAAGTTTTTTTTTACCTTACATAATTCTTCCGAGTGCAGAATCGCCCTTTATCACTGCGCGTTGATCCAAATCAGGAGCGCATCGTTCAACCAGCGCAAATCTTACTTTTACGCACAAATAACGCGCGAGCATTTAGTCGAAAATCACTTTCATCAGGATTTTTTCGGTCCTCTTCTGGTTGTGACAGAAGTTTACTCTTTTGGGATGTCTGGAGACGAGTCTTGGTGTTGGAGTGCGCTCCTCCTGCGTGGAAACAGGTTGGTGCTGCTGCTGCCGCCTCCAGCGTCTCTCCAGTCTTGTTCTTTGTGTCTTCACTCTTATGAATCTTCGCATCAGCGAGCGTCACGTGTTTGCATACAGAGCCCTGCACGCCCAGCCTATGGAACAAGGGGCAGGAATGTAGACAAGGGTTCGGTTTGGATTCTCGCAGCTCAGGATTCACAACAAAATAAGATAAACACACAAAAATAAATCAATAAATAAACGTGTGCACGTGAGTTTTATTCAATTAGAGATGCATAAACAAATAAAAAAAAGCTGTATATATATATATATATATATATATATATAATTCTTATTTTATTGGCTCCATTTTTCATTTTTTAAATATTTTAAAAGATAAAGTGCCAAGCTTAATTATTATTCAGCACATATCTGCTTATTACGTAAATAATTTAACCAAATTGACAAGAACAAATTACTCATCTCCTCAAGCTTGCATTGAGTTTAAAATCTCTCTTTCTTACATTTTCTGCATCATTGGGGTCATGAAAGCAGAGTTTTTGAATTAGAGGCAGCTAGACTTCCTGTTTCATTCCTCTAGGATGTTTCACCTCCCATCACAAAAGTCCTCTTTCGGCTCTGATGGGGTTTTCACGACTCGCTGACCCACCCGTCCTTCCGGTGAGTCCTTTGGGCTGTTGACATGTGGGAGTTGTTTACCAGCCTGACCAACTTGTGAGGTGTTTGAGTCACCTCTTTAAAGATGTAAAAAGGGTTGAAAGTGGCTGCAGAGAAGAGTCAAGGCTGAGCTGGTTGGGTGAAACCTCACGCCATCCTCCTTTTTCCCTCTCAAAGCATCTTCCTTTTGTGACTAAAATAAGGATTTCACTTTTAAAAGTGTCCTTCATCTTTGACGTGCAGGTGGACATCTGAGGTTTAGTGCTGCGGAGGAGTCTGAGCACAGCTGACACCACACTGCTCAGCTGGTGTTTTAGGGTTTGAAATGTCAAAAAGCTTTGCAGAAGTTATTTTTTTCAGGCTTTTTAAATGCCCACTTTGGCCAAAGCGCTTCACAGAACAATCATTCATATTCACACGCTGGAGGTGATGAGCTACAATGTAGCCACAGCTGAACTGATGGAGGCGAGGCAGACGTATGCAAGTGCCACATACAAGAGCAGGCTAAGTGAAATGTTCTGCTCAACAACCGACACGGACAGAACCTGGGTTCAAACTGACAACCTATTGGTAACGAGACAAACTCCTGACCCCTGACAGTCGTCCTCCAGTGAGTTCTGGGTCCTGGTACCAGGATGCATCCTGAGCCACCTCCACATAAATCTTTTGCTGAGGAGCAGTTCCACTAAAAGCTCCGCCTAAATGATGGAGATCCTCTTCTACTCTGAAGATGAGCTCAGCCACCTCAAGGAGGTCATGATCCGCATGACTACATGTTAGGGTTGGGCGCATATGGACTAGGACAGAGGGGTCCGCGACTCCCCAATGGGGTTGTTGTCTGTGCTGAGGTTGTGAGGTTGCCAAAATTAGATTTGTAAAAATCACATTTATAAAATCCCAATAGGGGGCTGCACAGCGGCGCAGTGGTTAGCGCTGTAGCCTTGCAGCAAGAAGGTCCTGGAGTCCTTATGCATGGAGTTTGCATGTTCTCCCTGTGCACGCAGACACGACAGTCCAGTTGATTGGTCTCTCTAAATTGTCCTTAGGTGTGTGTGTGTATGTGTGTGTGCATTAGAGTTGTCACGGTAACCGGTGTAGCGGTAAACCCCGGTAAAGAAGTTGACAATAATAATAACCGTCTTGTTTTTTAATATATACATTATCTCGGTGGGTTTACCGTGGCTGCGGTGTAGGTGCGGTGACCCTTACCAGCCACCGTATCATCTGCTGAAGTTGCCGGCAGCACATGCGCACTTTGTTGTTTACAACCAAAACTTTCTTGAAGCTAAAGCTGAAATAATGGCCAAAGGAGGAGACGGCAGCACTCAGGACATTTATTATCCCTCAAAGGAGACAAAGTGATAATTTTGGTCACAATAACCGTGAGGTTAAATTTTCACACCGCGTGTCCTGTGTGTCTCTGTGTTGCCCTGTGTTGGACTAACAACTTGTCCAGGGTGTGCCCCGCCCACTTGCCCGAAGGGGCTAGGCACCAACCCCCCCCCGCAACCCCGCATGGATAAGCGGGTAAAGAAAATGGAGGGCTGGAAAATCTCAATAACGCGCCCAATAGTATCTGTATGTCTGAATAAAGTTTGTAAATGCTTTTAATGTGGGTAGAAGCTGGGTTCAGGGGTCCTCACTGGAAAACGGTTGGGAATCGCCAGACTAGAAAATCACCAGCTTTGAATTTCAGCTCGGCTCGTTCCTCCCCAGAGTGGAGCTCCACTCTCACTGCTGCAGATCAAATCTCAGCTTGCTGGTTCATCTCTGGCTGCATCACAAGCACCATCTCCTCCGAAGGGATTTCCTCCTACTGTGATGTCAGGAAAGTCTCGTCTCCTCTTTGCAGATGTTTTGCTTCTCAGTTCATCCACGGCCAATGAGCCCGAGACTGATCATCCCTCAGACTTCAACACGATTTTATCATTTTAGTTTAAAAAAATATGACAGGAAGTCCGGCTGGTCACCGTTCATCAAACTAAGAAGAACGAGCTCGCAAAAAAAGTTAATTTTTGTGTAGAAAAAGTAATTTCTACACTTCCCATGCGAACTCTAAAAATCTGACTAGTGATGACTCATGGACGCGCTGTCATGCTTTCACACCAGTATTCCTCCTCCTCTGGATCAACCAGCAGCCTATCAGCACATTTAATCAGATACCAGGCCAACAAATAAGGAGTCAGATCCTGTTATGAACAACAACAACAAAGCCTGGGCTTAGACAAAAACACATTCAACTTAGCGCTCATGAATGATCTAATTTCCATGTATTCAGTTGATTTTATTATGTTTACGTCTCTTCACGCGGGCGTAGACAAAGAACACAGGAGCTAAAGGTCTTTTTTCCCCAGATGAACCAACGCAGATGGATTAATGGGAAATTTTCCACACACACACACTGAATATGAAAATACCTCTTTGTGAGTGAAATTAGGCCACAACTCAATCATCATCCCAGGTGCAGTTAATTTTGCTCAGACACGGTTGAGATTGTCCGAAAGGAACAAAATGTACTTTTCCATAAAAAAATAAAATGAGGAAAAAGGATCCCATTCTTGGTCATTTCTACATGAAATTACTGAACGGTTGCCATTTTTCAGATAAGGTACTTGTAATTATTCTCTGACACCATTTTATTTGATAAGACGCGTTGCTTACAATTATAATTTAGTAAATTAGACAGCAGAAAGGCTGTTGCTGACAATTCAAGTCTGCAAAACGAAACAGAATGACAGCTCTTTTCTCGCCTGCCTGCAGCCGAGTCAGTGGAGGAGTAAGTCCAGGTTCAAGTCGAGGAGAACATGAACCCCAGATACACTTTTAACGTCGAGTCTGAGACTGCAGCGCATCCCGAGTTCTGAATTCTGCATTACAACATTCCAGGGAATGTCTACAAACGAGCCTTTAAGTGGTTTCATGCAATTAACTTTATGGGCATGGAAGTGGATCCTAGCAGGCCCAATAACTGCTGTGATCTCTAATAAGGATGTTTTTTCTACCCAACAAAGACATCCATATCTTTACAACCTCTGATGCTGTTTCTATAGTGTTCCTGTAAAAGCCATTACAACTGCAGACTGCATGATGAACATTTTGCTGCACTGGCAGCAATGTGCAATTTCCTTTTAGATCATTAAGATGCAAAGTTTGGCTTTTTTATTAGCAAAGGAAAAAAGTAGCTCCCCGGTTAGTGATCGATGGCGACAAATTATGGATGATATCTGAGAAGGTTTCCAAAATGTCTGGAACTGTTCGACAGGTCTTAGCCGTTGGGTTTTGTCCTCGTGGAATTTTTACCCACGTCAAAAAACTGCAAAACAGATTTCTCTCAAAACAATCAGAGTTGCTGCAGCTGCTTCTCAAATGAGGTTTCATGAATCAAAGGATGACAAATGCAAGACAATTTTACAAAAAGGGCTGCAACATTTGGCAACTAGTTGTTGCAGGATTGTTAAAGGAAAGACAAATCTAACATTTCATGAGCTCCTGCAGACTTTGGGTTAACATTCTCCAGGAGCTCCCAGTTGTGCAAAAGTTGTTCATCGTCTGCAAAACTAAACTCTGCTTTTGTTTTGAATACAGTGCAAGAGTGGAGCAACAGACTGAACCATACAAATGGAAGACCATAAAGCCTCTCTAGCATTTACTTTGTCATAAAACATCCAACTTGAGCCAAGAGATGTCTCCTTGGTAACAAGTCAAGTTGGTTTTTGGATAAATAAAAATAATTTTCACAAAAAAATTAAGAATTCAGTCTAAATCTATATTTAGAATATTTTCACTATTTTTAGCTCCTACTCACACCCCAGTGAGATTTGTAGTTAAAGGGGCATTATGGAAGTTTGACAGCCAAAACATGTATAGAAATAATAAATTTCTTCTTCATACATTCTCCTGCAATGCCCTGGTCCTGTAGAATGAGCCCTGGCATTTTTACTGTGATTGCCTGTTTTTCTGTAAAATCACAGAAAAAGAGAGCTGCTTGGGTCGAGCAGGCTGCTTCATGCGCGTTCACGCTCAGGCATAGCCCTCCGAACCGTTCTATGAACGTTGTTTCAGCTGTCATCAAGCATATAGATGTTACAGATACAAAGGACGTTACTGGCGATTTAGCTCGCCTAGTAAGACGTCAGACTTTCGTGCAGAAGACCTGGGTTTGATTCTGAATGTGAACATAATTTTTTTAGAGTTTCTTTTTTACATGAATGATATATTTTTTTACAGTAAGATGCCCACATTTTTATTTGAGACTCGCCGAACGGCATTGAATTCACAGATAAAAAAGACATGGGTTCAACTTTCATCTTGGAACAATTTTTCAAGCAAGGGAAGGGAATGATCTGAGCATGCAGGAGGACTGACCCATCATAAACCTTTGTCGGCTGTGCTGAAGAGAAAGGTACAGAACCAAATTATTTAATTAA